GCCTGACATTCCAGAGCCAGGAATTTGAAAGACATATCGGCCAGCCTGATACCTAAGGAACAGGCCAGAATTAAGGCCTTCAGACTGCAACGTGGCAAGACTGTGGTGGGAAAATCATGTGAACGTGACAAGTGGTGGCCTGAGAGGTGTAAGGGACTGGTCTATGAAACCTCAGTTCTTGATCCTGACGAGGGCATCTGCTTCCAAGGCTGCTGTGTCCCTGAATGCCAGCAACTGCTGCCCAGAGCTAAGGGTGGGGAAGAACCCCTGCCTGAAGTTTTATTCTGGCTGCTGGTAACTGGACAGGTGCCAACAGAAAAACAGGAATCTTGGCTTTCAAAAGAGTGGGCAAAGAGAGTAGCTCTGCCTTCTCATGTAGTCACCATGCCGGAGAACTTTCCTAAATCTGTACCCCATGTCTCAGCTAGGTGCAGCTACTGCACCCCTCAACAGCAAAAGTAACTGCCCGGCCATATGCAGAGGGCATTGACTGAACCAAGTACTGGGAGTTAATTTATGAAGCCCATATGGATCTGATTGCAAAGCTACCTTGTGTGGCAACAAATATCTACTGGAATCTTTACTGAGAGGGCAATAGTATTGTGGCCATTGACCCTAAGCTGGACTGGTCCCACAGTTTCACCAACATGTGAGGCTATACTGACGCTCAGCTCACAGAACTCGTGCACTTATACCTCACTATCCAGTGACCATGAGGGTGGCAATGTAAGTCCCCATACCAGCCACTTGGTGGGCAGTGCCCTTTCAGACCCTTACCTGTCATGTGCGGCAGCCACGAATGGGCTGGCAGGGCCTCTGGCAAATCAGGAAGTGCTTGTCTGGCTGACACAACTACAAAAGGACGTTGGCAAAGATGTGTCAGATGAGGAGTTATGAACTACATCTGGAACACACTCAATCTGGACAGTTGTCCCAGGCCATGGCCAAGCAGTACTATAAGGAAGACTGAGCCACGATTTTCCTGTCGGCGAGTTTGCTCTGAAACGCTGCCCAGTGGCCCCATGTCTAAGCTGGTCACTCAGTTGTGTAAGATTGTGCCTAAAATTCTCCTAGAGCAGGGCAAGGCCAAGAATCCTCGGCCCAATGTAGGTGCTGACAGTGGGGTGCTGCTCCAGTACTCTGGCATGACGGAGATGAAGCATTACAGGGACCTGTGTGGAGTCACGGGAACGGGGCATGCTAGGACCCTCTAGAAAGGCCTAAATTCATGAGCTTGGATGGTTCGGTGAAGTTTGTGGACTCTAAGTCAGGGTGAAACTTGGAGACTTGGGGAGAAACTGACTATCAAAAGGAGGCTTACCAACAACAAAATTTACTTTTGTTTCAGGGGCCTTTAAAGACTTAAGACTAAATTGTATCCGAGGCACTGAAAATAAGCTTGAAGTTAAAATCTAAATTAAGACTTTAACAGATAAAAAGTGGTCCCTTCTTCCTCACCAGCTCCCTTCCCCTGCCTGGGATGAGTTGCCCATCAGCCATGGGAGGACCAGGACTAATGTTTGTGAAGTGGGTTAGGTTTGGCCCCCACCATCTCTGGAGTAAGATTCTGGCTCCTCTTCCTCTGGGTCAAAGCAGGTTACAGACCATCGCAGTCACTTGGGATGCCTATTCTGCCTCAAGCTGGGGATACCCTGGACCTGCCCCTCTTGGTCCCAACTAAAGGCCTCTTCCAGAAGGTCTGTCTTATCTGCGGCTTTTCCCAGTCACTGGGATTTAACAGCACTTACTGTGAACTAAGCTTTTTGCTTCCGCAGAACTGAAGCCGCCACTATCTGACCTTTCTCCTGTTAGTGTGCATAGGACAGAGGCGCAGGAATGTCCAGGCCCTTCATGGTCTGGCTCCAGGGGCACGAGCATTTCCTTTTGAGCAGAGATGATTTAAGATCATAGATGGTGTCCTTTGAATATCAGGTCTGTGGGCTGGGGACATTCCATGCAGAAAGCCTCCCTTCTCATCCCATCACGGAAAATGCTCCCTTATTTATCAATGTCTTTTCCCTGCCCCTTCCCCAATAGGAAAGTTGCCCCGACACACACAGTACAGTGTGTGTTTTAGAAGGCCCATTTGCACAGGTTTTCAGTGACTCAGAATGCTCTACTGCCTTTCTTTGAGAAAGGCTTGAGATATGCTCCTACAGTGCCCCCTTCTTCCTCTGCTGCTCCTCCTGCCTGCGTTTGCATGGATCCCCGAACCCTAGTGCCATGCTGTTGACATGGACACACAGTAAACCCTGGGTAACTGTCAAGTCACGAGGCAGACTTCAGGTTGTTCTGCATAAAATAAAAAATATTATTGTTTTTATTAACAACAGCTCTGGAAAGCTAAGCCAGGAGGATCACAAGTATGAGCCCAGCCTGGATGACTTAGCAACTTAGTGAGACCCTACCTCAAAGAAAAAAATAATTTAAAAAAAATTTTAGTAGTACATGCTTTCAGTACATAATTACGTTCATTGTGGGGAGTTGGTTCATGTATAGAACTCATCTTGATTCTTTTTTCATCCCTGAAAAAGATTTTTTTCAGACAGGATCTCCCTATGCAATGCAGGCTGTCCTTGAACTATGTAGTCCAGGTTGGCTTCAAACCCTAGGTGATCTTTCTGCTTCAGGCACTTGAGTGCTGGGATTACAGGCTTGCACCACCCCACCTGGCTGTGCATGAAAAAAATTTTTTAAAAGGTTAAAGACATAGCTCACATCTTCTTTATCCAGTCTCCAGTTGATGGGCACTTGGGCTGTTTCCAAGCTTTAGCTATTACAAACTGTGCCGCTATAAACACAGGTGCACATATATCTCTGTGGAATGATTCTTTTAATTCTTCTAGGAAAATACCCAGCAGGGGAATAGCTGAGTCAAATGGGATCTCCAGCCCTAGTTCTTTGAGGCATCTCCACACTGATTTCCATAGTGGTCTCACCAGTCTGCACTCCCACCAACAATGGAGAAG